GGGCTACTAAGTCTTATTTCCAAAAACATTCAATCAGTTACCAAAATAAAATAATTTGTTTTCAATCCACATTCTCTGTTTACTTTCTGGAGGTTCTTAAATTGTTAGCCCCGATTCTTCTTCTAAGTTGTCTTATGATTGCTAGGTCCAATTTTAGTCCCAATTCTCCAAGAGTCCTCAAAAAATATCTAGTGTGCAAACCTTCCAATATTAAACAACAACACAGACATACTTACACACATTCACTCACGCAGGTATAGAGTTTTTTTGTGTTTTTCTGGATCTCTAGATATTAATTTAAAACTCACATACACCAAGGCTCCTAGTTCAACAAAATATGTATCAAGAAATGTATCTAAAAAACCTGAATTTAACTATCCTTTCATTTTTAATTCACCCATTTATTCATCCAACAAAAGTTTACCTGAGTCTAATGGAGTAGTTAAGAGCCCAAGCTGTAGAGCCAGACTCCCTTGGTGTGAGTCCTGGGTACTCTGGTTACAGGTTGCAGGACCTTGGGCATGTCATAGTTTCCTCATCGCTAAATTGGGGATAGTAATAGTACTTGCCTTACAGGATTGTTGTAAGGATTGAATTAATTAATTCATGTGAAATGCTGAGAGCAGCACCTGATACATATAAATGCTTTATATGTGTTTTTGTGATTATTATAGTCTCTATGCTTAATCAATTTAAGTCTTCTTCTAAGGAGAGACAAATTCCTTTGAAAAACATATTCACCTTAAAGTTCTCCTAAAATGAGTTTTAGCTCTAAAATTACAGAGAATACACCTGCTATAGTCCTTGTTCCTAAGAAGAACCTTGGTGAAATAGGAGGTGAATATTGCTAAAATATCAACTTACTGAGAGAATCTTCTCCAGAACAATCATGTTCTGCAGCCTAGTGGCATGACACAGAAAAAATTTATAGCAGAGTCTGAGCTAAAACATTTAACTTCTTAAGTAAAAGTAGAAAAAAGAACAGAATAAAAAATGACAAGAAGTAGAGACTGGTGTTCTCATGCTAGTTTAATTCTGCTGACCCTGATAGCTTTGGCTCAAAATGGGGTGGGAAAGGAAGGTGTGTGGTGACAGGAGACATAGATGAGCAGGTGCTTCCCACCTCTGACACAATCTGTTTTTGGACTCTAAAAGAAGATAAATGTGCAATTATCCTACCCTCTTTGAGGTTCTTGTTCTTTCTTGTTTCTTTTTTCTAGTCTACCTTTTCCTTTGTTCTTCTTATATCTGCCCCTTCCTCATTCTTAACATTCATTAAGATGACCAGGGTGAGATATTACTCTTTCATTTTTCTGTTTCTGAGGCTCTTGTCTCTTCTATTATCCTTATTTCACATAAATTTAATCTGATAAGCGTTCACCATCAATTTCATACTAGCAGCATTGGGAGAAAAAAAACCAAACAAACAGAAATTAGAAAGGGAAGGGTTCTGCAGATCCCAGAGTGCTAACTGTATTAGCAGATTGGTGTGGGGTGGGTGGTGGGGAGAAAGTAAGGAGAGTGTCTGAATGTGGGCAGTATAAATCCTTGAGAACTGCAATGCATTGGTAGTTAACTTCTCCCTGTGTCTACATGTCCTAACAGCCAAGGAAAAGAAAGGAACAGAATCAGTTAACATGATTTGCAATATTCATAAAATAATGATAAAAGAAACACTATTCCTCAGTCTAGGACTATGAAGAATTTTCTCCTTTTAGTCTCATAATGGGAGGATAATGAAATGTAAAAAGAACAACAACCATAACCTATTCAACAACATCCCTAACAGCAAATTTCATACTTTTATCCACCTTGGCTGTTTGTTGCATTGAATGACATTAGATTATGTTAGCCCATGCCTAAATATAAACATACATGAAGTATAAACTTTATGTACCTCAACATGCAGGACAAAAAATATCCTGAACTGCCATCTCTTAAATTTTTTGAGTCAAAGATATATGCAAGTTTCAGCAGCATTTAAATAACACAATACTTGTCTGGCCCCAAATTGTCCGAGTTAATAAGAAAAAAAGACATCATTACCCATATGTCCCAACAAAGCCAACAAGTTTAGAAAAGGCTGTAATTTGGATGACTTTGCTTATATTCTTCTTAGTTTACCACTAAAATTCTGCCACTTCATTTACCGAACTAATATTTAGAGTACCTACTCATATTATGTTCTAGGCGCTGTTCTAATTGCTGGGGATATAGTAGTGAACAAAATAGACACAGTTTCCTGCCTTGATGATGTGAGCAGAAGAAAAAGCAGTTGTAGGTGAGTTTAGAGAGGCAATTTGGGTACAGATAGTGTAGAGCCTTGTAGGAGATATGAGGAACTTTGACTCTGAGCAAGATGTGTACCTATTGGAAGGTTTTGAGTAGAGTGACATAATCTTGTTTAAAAAGAATCAATTTGGGGCAAGGACAGAAAGTAGGAGACCAGTTTACTGAAATAATCAAAGACATATTAAATATCAGAAAGAATAATTCCCAGTGTGTTTCTCCTAGGTCACTACTCCATACCTTATCCTCGCTACTAAAACTTCTAACACCTCTCCCTCTTCCACACTCTCAGCTGATGCTTATTTCCTATTTCACTGAGAAACCATCAACTCTACACACTCCCACCATCACTTCTATCCCTCAGCCCACATCCATGCCCATTTATTCTGCCTTCCCTTTGGCCACAACTGATGAAATAACTATCCATACTCCTTTTACTTGTCCACTAGTCCCATCTCCTTCCACCTACTCAAGGACATCCCTCCAGAATGTCTCGTCTCGCTATTGCATCATCATTTTTTACTTCTTTTTTGGATCATCCCACAGCACATAAATATGCTAAATACATTCCCAATATTAAAAAAAAAAACTCTTTTATCCCCAATCCACCATTCAGCTGGAGCCCTATTTCCCTACTCCCCTTTACAGCAAAAATAATACAAAGAATAATTAATTCCTCTCCTTGTTCTCTCATAAAATGCTCTAGTTGAGCTTTCACCCACACCACAACTCTAAAACTTCTGCTGAGAAATCAGCGATAACTTTCATGCTGCTAAATCTAACGATCATATCTCAGTTCTCAACCCACTTGATCTACCAGCAACAGGGGACACATTTTCTGTGACTTCTGGCACAGCCACTGTCTTAGCTTTCCTCCTCTGTTTCCTGTTTCTTTTGCTAGTTTCTCTTATCTCCCATTAATTATGGGGCTCAGGGCTTCCCTGGTGGCGCAGTGGTTGAGAGTCCACCTGCCGATGCAGGGGACACGGGTTCGTGACCCGGTCTGGGAAGATCCCACATGCCGCAGAGCGGCTGGGCCCGTGAGCCATGGCCGCTGAGCCTGCGCGTCCAGAGCCTGTGCTCCGCAACGGGAGAGGCCACAGCAGTGAGAGGCCCGCGTACCGCAAATAAATAAATAAATAAATATGGGGCTCAGTTCACGGACCTTCTCTGACTACAATACTCTTTTGGTGACCTCTACTAGTCTCAGGACTTTAAATACTGTCTATATGATAAAGTCCCCAAAATTTACACTCTAGTTCTGAACTATCATCTTAATTCTAAACTTCCCTATATTCAAGTGGAGATCTAATATTCTTCTCAAACGTATCAAGCCCAAAGCTGATTCCTGATCTTTCCTCCAAACCTGTTCCTTCTGCATTCCTCCGCATCTTAGTAGACAGCAACTGGATTCTTTCAGTTACTCATGCTAAAACCTTGGAGTCTCTCACACACTAACAGCAAATCCACTGTCTTTACTTTCAAAATGTTGCCACATTCTAAATGTATCTAGAGTCTGGATATGTTTTCAGTTCTCACTCCCCCACTGCCACTACCTTGGTTTAATCCTCCATCATATTTTGAATAGATTAGTGCAACAGCCACTTAACTAGTCTCACAGGTTCTATCCCTTTACCTCCGTATAGTCTCTTTTCAACCCGGTGGCCAGAATGATCCTGCTTAGTCAGATCATTTCATCCTTCTATTCAAAATCCTCCAGTGGCTTCCCATCTTACTTAGAGCAAAAGCCAAAGAACCCTCAGCAGCTTAAAAGTCCTGACACAATCTGGCAACAACTTGAAAGTCTGACAATACTGAGTATTGGTGAAGTTGCAAAACACCAAGAGTTTTTGTTTTATTTATTTTAAAATTTAATTTAATTTTTAAAATTTGCTGGTGAGAGTGTAATGGGTATAATTACTTTGGAGAACAATGTGTTGATACCTAATGAAAGTGAAAATGCAGATTCGAACAGGGATTCTGTTCCTGTGTTCATACCTAGAAAACCTCACACATGTATAGAAAGTGACAAAACAATAATTTTTATAGCAGCATTGCATGTAACAGCAAAAAACTGGAAACATTCTAAAGGTATTTACAAGAGATGAATGAATAAATCTTGGTAGGTTTATACAGTAAAACACTGCTAAGCAATAAAAATCAAAGAACAAAAGCTGCATGTAGCAACATGGACAGCCACACAGAAGCCTTCATCGGTATTAATGCTTTATTTCCTAAACAGGGTAGTGGTTTCACAGGTGTTTTATTACATTAGTCCTTATTGCCTCTGTATGCCTGAAATACATCATAATTTTTATAGGGGTAAATGGTAAACTTGTAGAATATGGGAACAGTTTAGAGGAGAGCTTGCTGAGGGAGGGGCATGGATGGACACAGGCATGGATAAATACTGTCGTGTCTCAGGGCTGAGGAACTTAATCTCCATCCCCTTCCTCTTCATCCCCACTGCAGTTTTCTTGGTTCAGGTTTTCATCTTTTCAGTAGTGCCCTGTTTGTTTCTCCCTGTTAAAGTCTTGTTGCCCGGAATTTATTGTTTATAACTCTGAGTGGTTTGTACACATCCAAATCTGATCTTCTCAGCTCCTCTACTCATAAGCCTTAAAAGACTCTTCATTATTTAGAGTGAATGTAAGTACATTTCTTAACATAATATAGAGAACACTCTGTAATATGAACCCAAGCCTCCTTACCAATATCTGTTCCCAAATATTTCAGTTCACAGTTCTGTATTCTTGCTCACATCCTTCATTATGCGCATCCTTTTCTGACACCTGGAAAACACCAACATGAGACAGTCTATGTGATTTCTTTCTAGCTTCTCTAGAGGTAGCTTTATGATGTATTTCTATACAATTTTGTACATACCTCTGTAATAGCGTCATATTTTTATTACGTAGTTATATTTTTGTTTCCACAATAGGAACTACTAAAAGTCAGGGATAGTGGTGTTTTATTTCATTTTGTGTATCTGTTTGTTTGTTTTTAAGTCTTTGAACACCCAGCTCCTACCAAGACATTTAACACATAGCGGGTATAAATAATTATTTGTAGAATCAACGGAAGAATGAGTAGAGGTTTTATTTAGCAGTGTTGTAGGTGATAAGAATAGAACATCAGGTGAGACATAAACTCAGTTTTCAAGTTCTCAGTTATCTGGCTGCTTATGCTCATTAATTAAAATGCTATTTCAGCTTATACAACACTTATTGACTGATTTCAGGAAAGATAAAGAGAGGCAGGCATTATTTTGTTTATGTTAGCTAAGCGCAGTAAAGAATTCAGCTGGTCTTATTGCTAGGATAATTCAAAACTGTTGTACTGACGGAATACCAGGATATTTGAATTTATTTTTGAAAGTCTGGATTAATGTAACATTAGATTTTGTTCTGAAAAGATACACGAGATGCTGTGGCTCCCTCCCTTATTCTCAAGATATGCATTGGTAAAACCTGGAGGTGTATGGTGTTATCATAGGGCCACACTATAGCAAATGGGGACTGTATCAGGACTATAACATCTGCATAGGGAAATCTGCTTTCTTTAGGTTTTAATTTTCTAATATTGAACTAGTTTATAATTTAGAGAAAAAACCCTACTGCTTCTCCATTAGTTCCCAGGACAATTGAATATGGTAATTTACATTTTTGAGAACACAGTTTGGGCATTTACTCAAAACTGTACAAATTCCACATTTTAGAAATAACCAGTTATTATTCAACCTCTAACTTCCAAGTAGCTTGAATATTAAGAACTGGTTTTAAAAACCAAACGCACAAAGTACTCCAGGAATTGTAAATCATTCTTCAATTGTCAACCACCAAGGCACTTCAATTTAGAAAAGAATCAAGACACTTTCCAGCTATTCAAGTATAAATGTCTTAACCTAGTTTCAGACTGAGGACAAAACCCTCTGAAGACACAAAGAATGCAACAGCACTAATGTTTTTTCTTTTTCTTTTCTTTCTTTCTTTTTTTTTTTGTGTGACAGAATCTTTCTTATACATTTTCTAAGAAACAGGTATAAAACTGAGTTACTAGTCATTACTGATAGAGGTGAGAAGGAAGCTGATGATGTGAACAGAGTTGAAGGAAACTTGTCTAGGTAATCAAAGTACCAGACTTCCATTTAGACCCCTGAATAGTTTCCCAAATTTTTTTGAGGTGGTTAAGTCCATCTTCTGCATTATTTCTCAAACACATTAGGATATTATTACCCTGTGTGTTTTAGTTTTTGTTACTGTTTTTATAATTTATCCTAATTGAATGAAAAATGACGGGATGAAGTAAAGCATGGGGGTTCTTGATTCTTCTTCTCCTTTAGCCCAACAAGGTAAGCGCAGACTTGCCCAGGCTGATTCTTATAACACTTTGTAGAAGGCCCTGATCTAGCCATCAGTCTTTGTAACTTCCAGACAACTACTGGCCATACTCTTGGATGGGAGAAATGGAGGGGTTTTGGAAATTGCAAATCAAGAGTTTCAGCTGTATGATCTTTTAGTTCTGCCTGACAAAGTCCCGGCCCACAGCAAAAATTCACCAAATCAGTAACATCAGGCCTCTAACATTATTCTCATTATTTTGAATTTTGTTTCCTTTATCCACTTTAAGTTTCCTCAACATATCACTTGAGTGAAGTAGGAATTATATGATCTTGCTATAAATATTAGCTTTACAAATGACTAGTAACTCAGTGTGAATAGTACAGGATGCTAAATGCAATTTGTGGTAAATTTCAATATTCCTATTTGGAAGATTGACTTATAACATTAGGACTTTTATTAAATAAGTTCAAACTAATAGCAGTTGCTTCTAGACAAGCAAAATTGAGGACTTGAGAAGGATGAAAGAAAAATTAATTCTTCACTATAAACACATTTGTACTGCTTGAATTTCTTGCCACACAGATGCAATGTCTTAAAATTTTTTGTTTTATTAAAACATTTTTTTCAAACTGTATTACAGATACTAAATGCAGCACACTTGCTCTCTTAACAAAGTTTTAAAGAATTAAAAGGCTTATCTAAAGGTTTCAGACATGTCATTGGCTTTTGGGAAGAGAATCAGAAGCCAATATTCCAGTGTTTCCCTATCCATTTGCTTCTCTTCCACACCACATTTAGGATTAGTTACAAATAAATTTCTATTTCTAACATTCATCTCAGAGGTTCTTTGTATTTTTATTCCTAGATAGCTACCCAATATTTATTTTATTTGAAGCATATTTTAACTACTCTTGATTATGTTTTTTTCCCCAAATGATTTTCCCTAGTGACCACTGAAACCCAAGTGATGATTACAACAAAAGAGATTTTAAGAGTTTTTCCAGAACCAGGGTCATTGGTGACATTTCCATAAATCACACACAATCTCAACACAGGCCGTCTTACAAAGAAGCCTCACTCTAATAAGCTTAATATACAGAGGTTAAAAGAGCCTCGCTGTATTTATCTCTTACTGTGCAGCTTACCAAAACCAAATTTCTGTCATCAACAATTATTAGTCATCCATATGCCCTGGAGAGAATGTTAATAAAGCATATTATGAACCTAGGGGTGGGGGGATTCGGGAAAGACACAAATATGATCCAAATTTATAAAAGGAGATGGGGGTCCCTATTACTGCACCACATCTGCTTGCCACATGTTCATAAATCACATCAGTGTTTTGAACATTTCTCCTAGCACCTTCCTGTCACTCTGGTTTTATAGTTCATAATTTTACCCCTCCTCCCCACACACACACAAAAATTCCCATTATTATATTTCTGGCTTGAGAGTGACATTTGACCAACTATTAAGTCAAGCAACTGCAGCTAATGGCTGGGCTAGTGCCCAAGGATCCTCCAGTTTCTTGAGATTTGGTCACAGCAAGCAAAAGTGGGAACAAAACTTCTCGTTTTTTCTAAAGAAGCAGAGAAATAAGATGAAGATACCAATGACCACTGCCAAACCAAAAACAAAGCTGCATTTTGAGTCTGAATCTATGAAATAAAGTTGCCAACTTAGAAAAAGAGATTTTTCCTTGCAAACAGGATCCTTGGAAATACCATGGACACTAAGGTTATTTTCATTTTCCAGTGATGCTAATACACGTCTGCATGTAGTGCAGTGCCTGTCCTCCACGAGTGCCATCTCTGACAACCATGACATATAAAGAGCAACAGGTATAAGGCTACATTTTCAAGACAGACTATGTGACCTGCTGGTTTCTTTAATGGGAAAAAAGTAAGCAGGCTGAAAATACAGAGAAAGTCAAATTAGCTTGTGGTACCATATAGATGAAGTTGAGGTCTTTGATCATTACGACTGATCAGCCTCTCCCTCCCCTTTGCTCCAAACACAGCACTGCTGAATGGGATATAACAGCCATGAAAACATACGTATCCATATATATGCTTGAAAACAAAAAAGAAAAACCACGTGAAATGAACAGTCAATCTGAAGCCAGAGCAATGAATGGGCGCTAAAGCCAAATGGGCCATGAGGCCACTGGACCTGGATATTCTAAGTCACTGAGGTTTTAACCTAAGAGTAGAGAGTTGGGGAAAAAGACAGGAATTTTCAGGCCTGGGGGTGTGGAAAGCTATAGGTGCACTCTCAGCATAAAACCAAAAGCCTAGTAGGGACTAGAAAAGTTTCTTCCACTGGACTGGAAATTTGGCAAGAAAAATGGATTGCCTGTCCTAGGTCATGGTTGAAAATTAATCATCTGGGAGAAATCAAAACTGATAACTATATGGGGGTAGGGGTTGAATTCACATATTATGTTTGGCCAAAGAATTTGAAGTCAAGAAATCATCGTTAAAACTGGTTGTGAGACCCATGGGATTGAAAGAGGTAGACATAATAAAACCACCCACAATAATGACTTCACAACCCTGAACACATCCTTCAAAAACAGTCGGAAGATAGAGTCAGTCTAAAATTTGAAGCACTCAAGGAAACAGACTTCCTGAGAGGAGGAGACTTCCTGAAACAACCACTTTCCTGTCTAGGTTTTTTCATCGGTTGTTGTAGCTTACAAAAGTATGTCAATAAAAACAAGGTATTATGTGCATTTTCAGGAATTATAATGAAGATGAAGCTAGAAGAATTATACATAGGACGTTTTTAAATATTAAATGAAGTAATACACTTATAGCAAGATAAACACAGAGGAAGGAACAAAGTGAAAGAGCTCAATAAATGATAGACATCATTATTATTATGTTTAAACATTAAGAAGTTTAAACGTCAGTAACATTCCTATTATTAGGAATAGGAATTCAGCCTAGGGAATATAGTCAATAATATGGTAATAACTGTATGGTGACAGATGGTAACTAGACTTATTGTGAACATTTTGTAATGTATAAAAATATTGAATTACTATGTTGTACACCTGAAACTAATATAGTAAGTTAATTATATACTTCAATACAAAATAAATAAATAAACCATGGATAAAGCATGATTGACAGTCATTAATATGGAAAACGTTAAAAAAAAAAGTTTAAACTTTCAAAGTTATCCAGGATAAGAATCTTGCATCTTCTTTGATATTAATATCCAATGTGATTATGAATTAACATTCTAAATTTACTGGTAATTTGGCTATTTTTAGCAGAAGCCAGAAGGTCAAAACAACAAAACACTTCTGACATTTATCATATAGAAATAGTAATGGTAAACAATGCAGTGAGAAAAAGGAATATACCAAAGTCTTGCAATTGAATCTGAAGGGACTGCAGGTTCATCTGAAAGCCGGCACCACTTTCTAAAAGGTGGGGGAA